ACTAGAATTTATTTATTCTTTTAGGTACTAAGTAATATAAATAAAAACTTGCATATTTATTTATTTTATACTTCATGCAAAATATTATTATTTGACATAAACATTAGGCGGACCTAATGCATTGAGCATTCTCTACCAATCAACCTTTGGTTGATGCAGAGAATCCACATTTAATCCCTAAATTAATATAGGTACCTATCCCATAAATCCCTCATCAACGACTTAAGTCTGATAAACAAAAGTCATCATGCTAATCAGTTGTTTTACTCCTGTTTTGAAATAAAACTAGCTTAAATGCGAATAATTAATAATTGTTTATTATAATGATCACTTCAATTTTATACCGTCTTGCTACAGACACTTTGTTTATATAAATACTATAAGTTTCTACAAAAGTGGCTTCAAATTAATGGCAGCGAGAGTCCCAAATAAGAATAATCATTAAAATTATTAACATAGCAGCATCTTAGCAATGCACGAGTTTGCATCATTAGTGAAAATAGTTAAACAAACTTTCGTTTAATAATTAACTTTTAAATAACTAAGTAACGAGTAAATTAACTTAGTTTCATTTTACATTTTGCAGGCATTCATACCAAAGTACTCATACATATGCCTACATCACTCTCTTTATTTTCTAAAGTGATATTTATTTATTGAGCAGCTAAACAATTTAATGTCCACATTTCTAGTGAAAAGGGATTTTTGGTGACTAAAATTAATTTAGGTGTTCTTGCATGCTTACATTCTGTTTTGCATTAGTCCTAGTTCTATTAATATTAATGCGAAAGCTTCTATGTATAGATATTGGTTTCACACTCAAGTAAAAGCTACTTATTTATTTATAATAATAAGGTAGGCTCACAGCCTGCCAGACATTATGTATACAATTTAGTTGCAAGTATTGGTTAGTAGGTCGTTGCTACTGAACGGATCTGAATAAAGTTTAATAGTCTGGAATAACACACGTACTTTACTTTTTACCCTAGAGCTACGAGCGAAGCCACTGGCAAAATCTAGTACCTATCTAACGAAGATTCTTATTATTGAAAAATCCTTTTGAATATAAATAAGATAATATTTTATCTAATATTCCACGTATAAGTACTTTCTCTCAAATTTACATAAGAATGACAATTTAATTTGGTACTTTCTAACATACCTACCCACATAGATATTGTGCATGTTCTGTGCAAAATGGCATGTGGGTCAATTTACACAAAAACAGTAGGTAAGTAGCTACTGTATTTTCTTTATAATTAAGATTTTTGTCTTCAATTAGCAGAATCTATAAATTATACTGAATAAAATAATTATTAAAAGCAATGACAGTGGTCGGCGAAGTAATCAAACTTTGAGTGTTTCACAAATTGTTACCTGTTTATGGTTTGTGTGTTTTTTTCATATTTGCTACAGTCCATCGCATAGGTAAAAAAAATCTTAGTGCACCCATTAACGAGTAACGCTTTTTAAAAAAAACTATAGCAATCCTTAAACAACCATACCTAAATATTCATTAATAACATCATTTGTGTAACTACTTATATAAGTAAAATCTGCAAGTACTTTCATGTTTCCTAAATAATTATCAGTTCACGAAGTCACGCAATGCGTTTTACATCGTTGCTGCGTAAAAACAGAGACGCATCGCTACTGCGTCACCTGCGCAAGCGATACAAGTTGACTGACTCTGCGCCTACGCATCATAGCAATAAACCTACTCTATATAGGTGTAATTAATTCATCAAACCCCAAGCGAACGCACACTTATTGTGTCTCAGTTTACAACGATTGATAGGTTTATTAACATTATGCAATTATTTTACGGATTAACCTTAGATAAATCATTTTTGAACTATAAATATTTCTTAGGATTTTTTTTCTATTCAATTCTTTTATGCTAAAGAAATAAGAAAGACTTGCAGACTTACTAGATACGTACATAAGTGATTTATTAAATCGTTCGGAAATAAGGGAATGTTTGGTAAATTAGTATCTAACGAGTTTTCGCATATGTGTTAATCTCTACATCATTATATGTATAGTATGACACTAAGTCGCTTTCTTTGTCCCTTTATACGTATGTGCGCTTATATCTGTAAAACTACGCAACGGATTTGGGTACAGGTTTTATTTATAGATAGAGTGATTTAAGAGGAAGGTTTATATGTATAAAATTATCCATTAAATGGTAGGAGAAATGTAGTTATATCAGCCTTTAAGCACACGTGCGAAGCTCGGGCGGATCGCTAGCATTTTTTAAGAATTTCTGCAAGCATATCATCGACGTAAGCCGAATGAGAATTCGTAACACTGTAATTTTACGTGACAAGAAACGTATAAAATAAGGTAAGAATACTTCACAGAGCAAAAAAGTCAGTGCTAAGCTATATGCGGTGTGTGGCCCGACCACGATCTTGATTTTTATCACCAGCCAGTTATTTACATCTAGACTAATATTATAAAGAGGTAAAATTTGTAAGTTTGTATGTAGGGGCTAATCTTTGGAACCGCTGGTCGGATTGTCAAAATTCTTTCACTGATATATAGCTACAATGTTCCTGAGTGCTATAGGCTATAAAACATGACGCTACAATCAAATTGAGCTGAGCAGCAGGTGAAATCGCGCGAGAGTAGCTAGTATTAAATAAGTAAAGAGATTTTATTAAAGTTTGTTGACACTGCATCATGAAACAATCAACCTCCACTGAATACAGGCAGCGTTTACATTGCTAACTGAAAATTATTATTATACACCATAACGTTAGTATGGTTGTGCCATCGTACCGTCTCTTGAAAAAATTGCTGAAATCAAATGATCACTCCAAGAATGATATACAAGAATCGAAATAAAAATCTTCATTATTTGGAGTAGGCCAGTTCTGAATAGAGATCGGCTGACATATTCAGGCCGAATGCTTTACATAACCTTACAATAAGTGGATCTAATATTTAGAAGACGTTTTGTTTATGTAAACACACGCACTTTTATATAAGCAACTATTATTGCGTGAGGAGAAAGCTCTGCAACGTTTTTTAAGCGCGCCATTACCGAAAGCGCAGTAATGTTTACATTTAGGTAAAGAATACGTTAGCAAAAAAAAACACATGGTTTTTGTGAGGGGTAAATCATCAAATGTCTTTTCCCGCTCAGGGAGGGGCGGGAGGGAGTGACAACAACTTATTCACGCGGGAATCAAAGACATAGATTACAAAGTTCTATAAAAACAGACTTCCTAAGTAAGGCTAAGCTGCTCTAGAAGGTGAGATTTGAACCAGAAAGCAGTAGTGCGAAACCGCTTTTAATTTTATTAAGACAAGTTGTTGTTTCTAGTTTTGTTATCATGCCCATATGTTTTTTTTTTATTTGTATTCTAGCTTCCGCCCGCGGCTTCGCACGCGTATAAAAGTAATGTGTCCCGGCAATTTTTTAAACAATGTTGTGCCTTTCCCGTGGGAATATTGCAATATACTTACTATTGCAACTAAGCTTTGAGCTTACTAAGGTACCTGCATGCTATACTTCAAGAGTCTAACTTAAGCGATTTAGATTTTTCATACGAAAGGATTTTCCTGCCCGTTCCCGTGGGAATTTCGGGAATTCCTTTCTTAGTGCACCTCTCCGGTACCTATACGCTACGTCCCTTTCAAATTTCAAGTGCCTACCTGTGCGTTGATATCTCTATCAGTCAATTTGTCCTTTTATATTTTTGTAGATTGCACAATGCACATACGACACGAAACGGGACGGGACTAAACTACGGGACTAGGGGACTAACTACGGGACTAGGGTTAAAAAAAGAAGTTAAAGAACACTTTCGTATGGCATTCTTGGCATAAAGTTTCACCCATTAAATACCGTTACGAATGAAGTTAATAAGGTTATGATGAAGTGTTCCAGTTGTCAGCAATCGCTCCACCGTGACAAGTAGACAACTAGTTAACTGGGTACTCAATACGGTGGCGAGCACCTAATCGGGTGTGACCATTGACAATTATATTATTAGTTTACATTAAAGTATGAAATCGTATTTAACTTCAGTAGCGGGATTGTTTATAAGCTGTTTTCTTTTATGGCATAGTTAGGTAAACATGCCGGTGGTTCATCTGAAGTCAAGGAATAGGAGCTGCCCGTACCGCCATTGAGGATAGGGTGGAGATAGCGCGTCCGGTAACCTCACTTAAAAGTTGTTTCACGCCGGTATTCTGCAAGGCCGTTGTACCACTTTGGTCGTTTCGACGCATACCTACATGTTGAAGGTTGGTCCTCCGGTTATTTAAATAGTTTTAAACTAAGAAGAAAGACTTTTCTCGAAGATAAACTAGACTAGAATCTAAACATTTCGTGCTAAATGTTACGAAGTGCTTGCATTGTGGATCTTTGTGTTTAAATATTAATTCTATCTTTCGATTTGGAAAAATAAGAACGTACTTAGTTCGATTGCAGGTTAATCAGAGATCTTTTGCTTCTGGGGTTGCAAGGAAATCGCAATAAGGACCGTGCCCTTGGCCTGGAGCAGGAAAAGGAACGCCTCCGTTCCTTCTGCCGTTTTTGTCAGTAAGAGTTTGACACTCCTTTCCGCTTTACCCTGGAAGAGGAAATCCAATTAATGAATTTCCCCCAACAAAGAAAGCTTAACCAAAAGCTGTAGTTACTGTCATTAATGTTATTTAACTTCTATTTAATGAGTAAAAAGCGTTTAACAACTACCTAACTCCTAAGGCCTTGTGGTTTTACGTCAAGCACCAAAACACGTTGGGCCGAGCCTCAAATAATTACCCGCGTGTTTTCATAACCGCCCACCTTGTTCGCAGAAACGCAATTCAACCGTGCGATACTAATTAAACGTTGCAAATTTAAAATAAGTACTCAATTTATGTGATTCGTATGTCTGATAGGTATATATATTTTTAGAAGTTTATACATATATATCATCGTCATCATCATCATCAGCCCGATTCTGTTCACTGCTGGATATAAGCCTGATGATGAGACTACAATGTTCAGCTCTTTTTATCCAACCACTGCCAGCCACCGGATATCGTCAGTCTACATATTTGGAGAACGCCCTAAACTACGTTTGCCTAGGTCTCCACTCATTCACGTCATGGATTCTTCAGATTCAGACAGAAAGGTATACATACATACGCTAGCTAATTACGGTATTATTGATTTGCTAGTTTCTGAAAGCGGATTTTCCAGGGCAAGTAGTGTCCATATTATACATGCCTATCTATCTCTATGCCAAATTTTATTCAGATCCGTTCAGTAGTTTTTCGTGAAAGAGTAGTAAACGTAGGTACACCCAAATAACTTTCGCGTTTATAAAATTAGAAGGATGATTATAATAAGTTTCTACAATATCTTTTTATCCTTGTAAAAAACGGCAAAGGTAAATTCTGAATTTTAATTTTATTCTTAAAAGCGCAAGAGAAAGTGTTTGTGTCGTTATTCGGAGCTCAAAATCATGGGCAGTAAGTATACCACGAGCCCCGATCGATATGGGCTCCAAGAGTGACTTGAAAATAGCCGAGTTAACTCGTCAAACTATTGCATGTAAGTAATACTGAATAGTAAAATAATACAACATAACTGAACCGCAAATCTTGCTATGTATTATTAACTAGATTAAGCTTCCATCCCGAACCAGAACGTAGATGTACCGTGGTTTATCGTGCGTTAAAAAACAATAAAACTAGCGCAATTAACGACTCTTACATTGTTAATATACAATTAACGTTGTCTAACCTTATACTAAGCATTGCAATTATTATTTGAAGACAAAATCCGTTTTGTTTTCGGTAACTTTTTTTGAACAGATGTTATCCGTTTCAATTTTTTGTGTAACAGTTTGTTATTCCCATCCTAAGTCTGTGTCCTAAAATAATTATGTCAGAACACAGGCTGTAGAATGTTCTAGACATAGCCAATACTTATACAAAGACAGTATTTTAAATTCCAACGTCTAGAATGGTACATATCATTCAAATGAATCTTGTTATTAGCAAAGTGCCAGAATTCTCGTGTAGAACGGTTTTCCAGTAAATATTTTGTTGGATAACCAGTTTTTTCTGTATTGTGTTGGATATCTGGAGCTACGTCTGCTGTGACGTGTGCGCATGTTTTGCGCTACTCTTAATAGGTACTGGGAAAGTAACAGCAAATACTTTGGCATTCGGAGTGCATTGCGTGTTCCAAGAGTTTTAATGTTCTTGAACTTTTGCGATATCACGAACAAACAAAGGGTGAATACTTACGAAGATAAGAAAACGAAAAAATATATAAAGATTTTCGGACGAAAGTGTCTTAAGTTTTGTGGCTTGTGTCGTGTGGAACGCTTTTGCCCACAGCTGTTCATCATTCATCATTACATTTTAATACAGCGTCCCTTTGATGCGTTTCACATAATCGATCTTAAAGAAAAAAACAAAACCATTTGCCAAAAAATTCATCCAAATATTTTCGATCTCTTGTGTCAGGTATGCAAGGACGGTGATGTCAAATAAACACACTCACTATACTGGTCGGCCACTGAGCACTGTTTAACAACCGCTCGTAATAAAAATGTTCAACGCTTTTCATGAGAACATCAAGGATGCAGTTTCCGCTTGTGGTTTACCAAACTTTGTCTCTAAATGTGTCGCATTGCCTATTACATGTTGTAGATTAACATACGGAGTACTTCCTACCTATCTGTCCTTCAATTTCGCTTCCAAAGCCACTGCAAAGACCTAAACACAAGTGGTTCCGACGCACACATTAATGTTCGCATTCGTATTGTGAATAAACATCGTAATGTAGCAGATAAACTAGGATGGGAGCCAAGACGAAAATATGCCACGGCGCGTTTTTCCATTGGATTTTGCGCTTTGGAAACGAACAGTAGTCGCGGCAGAACACACAGACATTCATTGTTAATCAGATGGAATGTGATAAGAGAGGCGACTCCTATCACTTATGCCGGCGACGGATGCTGCACGGGCATAGAATAATATATTAGTCACGCTTGAGATTCATTACGTGTACCAGAATACATCTCTAATGACGACACTTTCTTCTAAAAGAGAACGTTGCACAGAGGCGCGTCGTTGTTGCTCATGTTTTGTTGTGTACAGGTCACTGGCGAGGGTGTGGTGTGTAAAGAGGTATAGAAAGCGTATGCACCTAGCTGTGTGTGTTGTGTTCATTGTGTACCAGTGTCCCATGTTTGTGTATGTCTTGCAAGGTCACACGTGGAGTGGGCATGTACGAGACAGACAGGTCGATGCACACGCGTCAAGGTGGGCACGGAAATTTTCATTCAACCGACTGTTCTATTTACATCGCCGATTGCCACAAATATTGTAAGTGGCGCATCGCGCGCGCACTTCCTCCACACTGACGTAGGGGACGTCGGACCTTCGCGTGCCATACACTCGGACCACACCAGATATTAAGGTTTACGAGCCGATAGTCTCTCTTGTTCTGTTTCGTTCCCGGAATACTTTCGTAAATCCGGCTGTCAGCCATGACGGACAGAAGAGACGGCCGCTCTGATAGAGGTATCTGGTCTGGTAGCGGGTGAATGACAGGCGAGGTGCGAGGTGCGAGGGCGGTGCGCGCGGCAGGAGCTGGTGTTTACGTTGTGTTCACTGTCAAACGTGTTATCTGTTATGTGAGCAGGTGCGTGGCGCTAGCGTCGCGGCGTGCGCGCGCCGGCTATATTTGAGTGCGCGCCGTCGTTACATAAAACTGTCGAGTGTCGATCCTCACCTCCTCTATCTTGAGGCTGGTGCGGACCACCTTGCGGGTGACCGCGCTCTCGTATGTCTCCTCGATAGTCTCCGCCATGGTTGCGAGTCGCGGGCGCAGCGGGCGACGCGCGCGGTAGTTGCGCCGGTACTGAGCGGCGCGCGGTTATTTTTAGTCAGCGGCGTGGTACGGCCGCCTCACAGTGGTGTAACTGGCACTCGGGAATCGGGGTGGCGAAGCCGATGGCGGGCTGAGCGATACTGCCGGCCTTCGGTCGCGGTGGCGGTTAGGGGCGCTGCGCACTCGCCGCCCGCCTGCCTTGTGACGCCGCACTCACAGCCTCGATGACGTCACTCTTGTTGTTGCACTTTATTAGCTTCACTCGAAGACACTTTTTACAAAACAATAACACTCACTTTCTGCTATTACTGTCTCTTCTTATAGTTGTTTACAAATGTTTTACAGTTAATTAGTAATCTCTACTTAATTAGATTTGTTGCTGAGCCTGGTTTCCAGTTTCACTTTAGGATCATAATCCGTTGGCGTGTTTAAAGAATCGATCGCTTTTCCGCAAATCAGGTAATAATAGGGACAAAAGTAAGATAACTTAATGGTACTGAATAAGCCCTATTCCTTAATGCTCACGAAGATGTAAGTTGTAAATTGGCTGTATGTAGTAATTCAAATATTGTGAATGTTTTGGTTCAAAACAAAATTAAGTGGGTAGTTTACAAGTTTCGTTTATAAACGCCACTCACAGAACCATCTAGTGAGAACTGGCGTACCTAATGTGAACATGTCTTACAGAATCTACTAGATGGCGCTTGAAGAACGATTGAGTTGACTGCTTGTAAACAAGTACTGAGGTAATAATCACAAATCGATCGAGGCACAGGATAGCCATAAACGTTGTTTGTAGTTTTCCATATGGTTGATAAACTGTATCCGGTCGAAAGCAATAAAACTCTGACATGACCTACGCTAGTACCTATATCACAAATCTACCTGTCTACTTCAGTCTCAATGAAACCTAGCTACCATTTTCCACCCAAGGATGGATTATAACAGGTGTTGCAGCGAGACGGCTCCAAAAATTCCATAAGAGGACCTGGTACCTCTAGCAGGAACTGAGCGTAGCTACCGGAATGGTGGTTTCAGTGAGGTACAAAGAATACACATCACTTTCTTCCCCAAAAAGCTAGACGCCTTTTGAAGGTCTCAAGTCTCAACCCGTAATAAAAAGGATCGAAAATATTTTCTACATGTTCGTGTTTCATAATTAATGTAAAACATTAAATTATAAAGGTATACACTACAAGAGCCCCGTAGGAGGCTATGGACTGATCGATAAACCAAATTCAACCTATGACAGCAAACATGGTCCTCCTAGGTTAATACGGTAGTTTCCAACTAGTCAAATTCAATACTTTTATCCAAATGTCAAAAAATCAAAAACTATACTTTTAGCTATGAAATTTGTATGAAAAACTGAGTTATGACGTCATAGTATTTTTGCGTCAAATAGCAGTAAGCTATTTGACGCATTTCTTAATAATTAGCTACTAAATATTTTAAACTTAGTGTATCGATCGATCGATGAATAAAAGTTAAGTTATTTTTTAACATGTTATTATATTGAAACGTCGAATTAATTTATTTTTGACCTAGGAAACTACCCAATTGGATCACAGGAGCGGTCCCGGTTCTGACGTCTCTCGCCGGCACCACACGCCCCCGGGTTCGGGATATATGACGGACTTGTCAGACAGATAAGGCGCGAAAAAATGTTGTCTTAGGAAAGAACGTAATGTATCATGCGCAATAACTTCATAACGGCATCCGCTTGCACTGATCGGAAATAGGAGAAAGCTAAATCATTAGGAGAAAGCAAAGACTAATAACGGCCTGTTTGCATATGCAGTTATCTTCGTCGAGGAAGATAACCAACTCCAAACGGCGAGTTCAATAGCGTTAGTCGTAGGTAACGGCAAACACTTGGCAATGGACGCTAGCAATTTTAAAGGCTGTCCCGAACAAGTGCGTTGCCAGGTGCTTTTTTCTTTCTTCTTTTTTTTCTTTTAAATAAAAAAGTGTTGTGGGTGCGTTTACAAACATACAATACGAATGACACCCAGACCCGAAACAACAATTTGTGGATCACACAAAGTGTTGTTCCGTGCGGGAATCGAACCCGCGACACGTTGCACGGCAGCCAGTTACCCAGCCACCGCACCAACCGTGCAGTCTTTTTGTTTGGAGTTAGTTTCTCAATGCCACCCTATTCTATTCACCAGTCTGCGGTCAGAGCTACCTAAAGACAACTAGACTGATACTGAGTAGCAGTCTGGGTCAGCTATCAGCAGAAGGCCTAGGCAGTTCGCAGCGTCCATATCATTTGTTATTATAGCTCCCTGTACCAGCTTGGTCAGGGTAAACATCAGCGTAAGATTTCGCATCATTGCTCTATTACATTCCATTTAGCATTTAATCTTGACCCACACTAGTCAACCTGCAGTGGCATATCAATTTCGAGTAATCTCATATTGTAAGCCTTGTGTCAAATGTTTTTGCTTGGTAAGTGGGTTATAGTCATTATATTCCGCGGGCAGTGGAAACCAACCTCCATAAAATATCACATCATCAAAATAACATAAAAAAGGATGAGTTGTGAAATACCGTCTTTTCTCAAAGTTAATTGAAAAAGTAACTGTAATATTAAGCTACGCACTTAGGTTAGAGGAAATATTTGACCTAAACTGAGTTCAAAATCTGTAAGTAAGTATATTAAACTCCGTAAAATTCTAACAAGAAGTTAACTCGATCGGGCATCATCACGACACTGTTACTGTTGCGGTATTTTGTGTAGTTTGGGTCTCCTTACTAGGAGCGGCCCTAATGGCGGAAAAGAAGATATCTTACTCGCCAGCAGGGAAATGTCGAGTGAACTACCACTGAGTATTTTAAGCTAAGCATTTTCAGAAATAACACTACGGGCGTCTTGTACTGTGCACAGTGTGCACGGTTATATTTCGCAATAGGTTCACCCTGAACTACATGGTACTGGCGAAAAGCGAGAATTTGCCTTATTTTCCATCACCCTTTTTTGTAATGGGAAAATCCTCAAATGACTTTTCCCGAGTATCTCTTGTTTTGAGTTAACAAGAGATACTCGGGAAAAGTCATCCCGGTTCCATCTCCCGCCCTGGGGCGAGGCCGCGGTGACAACCTGAGCTGATTACACTTCATTCTTAAGAAAATACTTACGCAGCAGTTGCCAACGCAACTTTGTGTTGCCGCGACGACACGCCGCTCATGAATAAGAACCCCGCAGTGACTGACTAGAGTAAAAAACTGTTAGTTTTCCCGAGTTCAATAGCGTAAGTCGTAGTCGAGTATTTTTAATAAATTGAGTATTGTTAGGACCATAGGACTAATAGGAATATTATAAACACAAAATACGTTCAAATATTTATTTCATTACACAAACATGCAACATATAAATTACATAATAAATATGTACGCCTAACTCTATGTATAAATTTCGAGATACATTCTTTTATACATTTGTATATATCACTTAGCGTGTATGAAGTGTCCGTGTATCACATGTACCTGGGTTCTACCCTGGAATGAGAATCAACCTCTATGTTTCGATAGCTCAACGGAGACTCCATAGAGCACGCTATAATGTCACTTTTCAGCTAATACTTAAATATATTTTATTGTATTTTGTTTGCGCCTATAGCTGATGCTGCTGCTTATTCCACTTGGCTGTAAAAAAGAGAAACAATTAGATAAAAATCAAAGGATTCGGGCTTTATGGCCACAACTGTAAATGTAGGTGATAATTCCTGGAACCGGTGACCGAATTTTCAAAATGGTCTCACTGACAGATAAAACAATATGACCTGACCTATGATGTTCCTGTGTTCTATAGGCTACAAAACATCATGCTATCATCTATAGGAGCCGAGGAGCGAGTGTAACCACGCTCAAGTAGCTAGTTGATTAAAAAGCTTCATATCAGAATAGCAATAATAAAATAGTCTCACAATGTTGAAGACACTTGCGAAAATAGAGACAATATATGAGTCGAAGAAGTGACAATTCAGTCCAGGTCCATGTCAGATTAAAAACAATCGAGATATCAATGCTGGTGACTGGTGACTAGAATAGATAGATATTTATTGTGACTAGGACACATGTGATCAAGTATCCCCACCCCTGCTTTGTGAAAGCACTCTCTGATACACGTAAAAACCTTTTAAATGCGATCTTCAAACCCACGTGATCAGCATGCAGAGAATGGCAAACCCCTTCCTTATAGCGTAAGATATTCTCGTGTTCTCTAGCTCGTGTTTCCTAGTACAGAGGTGGACTAGGAAACACGAGTTATATATAGGTGTGGGAATTTAACACATTTAGAGCCGGTTTCTGAAAGGCTTGTCAACGCTAAAATTAACTAATCTCCTGTTAAATCTCTTATAATATAATTAACTGACTAATGATAATTTAGTCAACCAATCAGATGACTTGACAAGAGATTAAATTGATTTTAACATTGATCGGCCTTTCGGAAACCTGGTGTCAGTGTCACCCACTCGCCCAAAGAGTCCACATAAATTTCACGTAAAATGTTCGAGAATTTGGCGGCATTCTAAATAACATTGTGAAAATAGTGGTAATGAAAGTGTTAAGTCTGTGTTGGTTCAATACTAACATGACACGCATGGTGTTGGTGAATCCGGAGCCCTGCTTCCAGCCGGTGACGACGACAACGCTGTCTCCTGTCTTGATGAAGCCGCGTGCGCGACCAAACTTCAATCCGCTTTGTACGCGGTTATCTACATCCTTCAGCCAGTCTTGCGCCGTGGGCTCTGTATAAAAATAACCATGTTGATTTTAGTAAGTGCTGCTATAATCTTTTGAGTTAAGTTATTCAAAGTTTGTTTACTTATAAACTACAGACAACTTTAAGGCTAAATACTATAATCTAAAGAATATAACGTGAGTAGGTATTTCTTTGTAATTCTATTTCGTTACCTAGCTTCACTAGCGAACAAACTACTATTCTATTTTACGTTTCAAAAGTACCTATTTATGGTTTAATTTAATAAACGATTTTGACTTTGACTAGTGACTAATCTCGCAACTGCAACTCTTAATTGTCTTATAATTTGCATTCAAAAATTACTTTAAACTGGAGTTTTACTATATCAAAATATCCCATCTTTCCTTCCCCTTACCAATAAAGTGTGTCAGACTATTGGCTTAATGATATATCTATACTAATATTATAAAGAGGTAAAATTTGTAAGTATGTAGGTAGGGGGTAATCTTTGGAACCG